ACCCCTCCTCACAGTTACAGGACAGAAAGGAATACTTGTGGTCACAGGCCAGGAAAGGAGTAAACACTTCGCCCCTTATCATACCACCTTGGAAGAATTGAAAATTTACAGGTCCCTACAAGTATCTCTAAAAACAGCTGTACATTCTCCACACTGGAAGCAGACTCTTACCTTAACAAGGAGTTTAAAACTCAAGTAATTGGCTGGGATCATGAGCAAGCAGCGCAAAAAGAGCCAGACTATATTATCTTACTTTGGTGAAAAAGAAGATCAAAATATACAACCAGAAGACAACAAAATCAAAGCTCCTACATCCAAAGCCTCCAAGAAAAATATGAATCAGTCCCAGGCCTTGGAAGAGCTCAAAAGGTATTTTGAGAAGCAAGTAAGGGAAGTAGAGGAAAAACTGGGAAGAGAAATGAGAGTGATGCAAGAAAATCATGAAAAACAAGTCAACAGCTTGCTAAAGGAGACCCAAAAAAATACTGAAGAAAATAACACCTTAAAAAACAGCCTAACCCAAATGGCAAAAGAGGTCCAAAAAGCCAATGAGGAGAAAAATGCCCTAAAAAAAAAATTGGCCAAATGGAAAAGGAAGTCCAAAAGATTACTGAAGAAAATACTTCCTTAAAAATTAGAATAGAGCAATTGGAAGACAGTGACTTTATGAGAAATCAAGACACTGTAAAACAAATCCAAAAGAATGAAAAATTAGAAAACAATGTGAAATATCTCATTGGAAAAACAACTGACCTGGAAAATAGATCCAGGAGAGAGAATTTAAAAATTATTGGACTATCTGAAAGCCATGATCAAAAAAAGAGCCTAGACATCATCTTTCAAGAAATTATCAAGGAAAACTGCCCTGATATTTAGAACCAGAGGGCAAAATAGAAATTGAAAGAATCCACAGATCTCCTCCTGAAAGAGATCCCCAAAGGAAAACTCCTAGGAATATTGTAGCCAAATTCCAGAGTTCCCAGGTCAAGGAGAAAATATTACAAGCTGCCAGAAGGAAACAATTCAAGTACTGTGGAAATACAATCAGGATAACACAAGATTTAGCAGCTTCTACATTAAAGGACCACAGGGCATGGAATATAATATTCCAGAGGGCAAAGGAGATAGGATTACAACCAAGAATCACCTACCCAGCAAAACTGAGTATAATCCTTCAGGGGAAAAAATGGTCATTCAGTGAAATAGAGGACTTTCAAGCATTCCTGATGAAAAGACCAGAGCTAAACAGAAAATTTGACTTTCAAATACAGGACTCCAGTGGAACATGAAGAGGTAAACAGGAAAGAGAAATCATAAGAGACTTATTAAGATTGAACTGTTTACATTCTTGCATGGAAAGATGATATTTGTAACTCATGAGAACTTTGTCAGTATTAGGGTAGTTGAAGGAAAAAAATTATATGTATGTATATATAGATAGATAGAAGGCACAGGGTGAGTTGAAGCTTAAGGGGTCATATCTGGAGAATAAAATTAAGGGATGAGAGAGGATGATACTCAGAGAAGAAAGGGAGAGGTAGAATGGGGTAAATTATCTCACAAAAAAACCCAGAAAAGTCTCTCACAGTGGAGGGGAAACAGGGGAAGGTGAGAGGGAATGAGGGAATCTTATTCTCATAGGATTTGGCTTAAGGAGAGAATAATATACACATTCAGTTGGGTATGGAAATCTGTCTTACCCTACAGGAAAATAGGGAGAGAAGGGGACAAGAGAGCAGGGGGTGATAGAGAGGAGGGCAGATTGGGAAAGAGGGTAATCAGAAGCAAATACTTCTGAGGAGGGACAGGGTCAAAAGGAAGAATAGAATAAATGGGAGGGCAGGATAGGATTAAGGGAAATAGAGTTAGTTTTTCACAACATGTCTACTAAGGAAGTGTTTTGCATAACTGCACATGTACAGCCTATATTGAGGTGCTTGTCTTTTCAATGAGGGTGGGTGGGGAGGGAGGAAGGGAGAAAATTTGGAACTCAAAGTTTTAAAAACACATGTTTTTTAAAAAATGTTTTCACATGCAATTGGGAAATAAGAAATACAGGAAATGGGGTACAGAAGTCTATCCTGCTCTACAGGAAAATAGAAGGAGAAGGGGATAAGAGAAGGGAGGGGGGAGAGATAGAAGAGAAGGCAGACCAGGGGAAGGGATATTTAGAATGCATGCCATCTTGGGGTGGGGGGAGGGGTGAGAAATTTGGAACTCAAAAAACTTATGGAAGTGAATATTGAAAACTAAAAATAAATAAATTTATATTAAAAAAATTATGCAATTAAAGTGGTTAAAATATCCGTATCCTTTGACTGTGAGATTTCCATGTTAGACATATATCCCAAAGAAGTTACTGAAAGACTCCATATACACTAATATATTTATGGTAGTACTTGTTGTGATAGCGAAGAGCTGGAAGTAAATACCCATTAGTTAGGGAATAGATAAACAAATTGTATTACATGAATGTACAGGAATATAATTGTACTGTAATAAATGGCAAATATGATGAAGACAGAGAAGCAAAGAAAGACCTATATATGAACTAATGCAAAGTAAAGTAAGCAGAACCGAGAAAAAGATATATACAATGACTATAACAATACAAACCGAAAGTATAACCATGACAAAATAATGGAAAATTAATGTTGCAAAATTTAAAAGAACAAGTTTGGCCCCAAAGAAGAGATATGGGAAGATATCTTGCAGAGGAGTGTGTATGAATAAATGTATGCATGTATGTATGTTTGTATGTATGTGTACGTGTGTTTTGGGGGGGAGGGAGGTTCATTAGTTTGGAACACAGCAATATTGTTAATTTTAAAAATGTATTGATGCTTTGCTGATTTTTTTCTTTCCTTTTTCTTTTACAAAGGATTTGTTGTAAGGGATGAATCTCTGGGAGGTAGAGAGGGAGATATCCAAGGGGAAATTTATGTGATGTAAAAAACAAAAGACATGAACACAATTTTATTTAAAAGGGGAGTAGACATATACTCTTAGCAGGAGCAATGGTCGAGTATTTGATTACCTGACAAGGGGTGCACATGCAGAGGCATGGTAGCCAGAAGTGCATAGAGCCTGGGGTCATATATAGTTGGCAATCAAAGCAACCACCAATCAAAATAGTGGGGCAGGAGTTCTGGGAATGAGGAGGTTAAATATCAGACTACTATTTAAAGCTAATTTTCTAGACCTTATCAGAAAGGGAATATAGATGGTGTGTTATCTGTTATTCTCCAGAACATATTACCATTAGCGTCATTTCACTATATGTACCACATTATTCTTTAAATTAGGATTTATGCTCAGTTATAGAGACTCAGAATCTTGAAATTGGAAGGAAAAAATAACTCACAGACTACCTTCTCTCCTGGCCCCATCTTAAATAGAATTCTTCTCAATAGTGTCCTTAAAAAAGTGATCATCTAGCCTTTGCTTAATGACCTTTAATGTCAAGGAACTCACTTTGGGGTCTGTCTCCTGCCCACAAGTGTTCGATGTTATTTTAGTGGCTTACTGTGTAATATCTCCATTTCAATGAGACCTGCAGTGCCTTAACCCAAGGAATGAATAGTAATGAGGATTTCAGAACCCCGTTATTATTTCAGGACCAATTATGGAGATTTAGTTAGATAACAACAGTAATAATAATAATATTGATAATAGTAGCTAGCATTTATATACTATTTTAAAGTTTTAAAGGCACTTTCCATATGTTACCTCATTTGATCCTCACAATAATCCTGGTGCTATTAGGTGCTAATGTTATCCCTGTTTTAAAGATGAGAAAACTGAATCTGAGCTTGTCTAAGTAACTTGACCAAGGCCACATAGCTAGTAAGTGTTTGAGATATGGGTCAAACTCAGTTATTTCTACTCCTAGTCCATAAATAGATAGTTTTGGGGTATTTGTACTTCTGTGAAGAGGGCGTCCATTCAAGAGCCCTTTAAGCTAAAGCAACATCTACAATTATTAGCCCCGTGGCATGCTTAGCTGGCTGATAGTCAATGACTTGGGGCCTGGGGAGAACAAAGTCTAATAATCCTTATGAGTCTCTTGGGAATTAAGGAAGTAACATTACAAGAGGGAAGCCCTGAAGTAAGAAGAGAGATTAAAATAATCGTGCAAACTTAAGAGTTTAAATGACTGATGGAAATACAAGTCACATGGCTCTGCACGACTCACAACATGTTTCTTTGAGTTAACAAGGATATACTTACTTTCTGCATCTGACATTTCAAAGGCCAAAGAGAATCTGGCCCTAAACTAGTTCTCATTCCCTCTGCCCTAATATGGCATATTTATTTCTTACTTTTTAGGTTCTTTATAATAAAATAAAAACATGAATTTTATGCTGATGCAGGATAACTGGTCTCTCAGAGAGGAGAAAGAAAGGAAGGAAATGAGAATTTATTAAGCACCTGCTCTATACCAGGCGCTATGCTAAGTGTTTTACAAATATTATGTTACTTGATCCTTACAATAACCCCGGGAGGTAGGTGCTATCATCTCCATTTTACAGTTAAGAAAATTGAGACTGACAGATTAAGTGACTTATCTTGGGTCCCACAGCTAGTTGAAATCCAAATTTGAACCCAGGTCTTTCTGACTGCAGACATAGCATCCTATCCTCTACTCCACCTCCCTACCTTATGAACAAATGAGTCTGTAAGTGCAGCTCCAGAAACTAAAGCAATCAAACCAACCCTTATGCTTACTCTTTTCTGATTTAAAATTGGTGTATTCAAAAGTACCTAGACTGGCGTATCTGTGAAAGGTTCCAGCTCATTTTATTTACCTTAGTTTAAAGCCATATGGATCCTAAGCTCCCTGGGGCTACTCCAGATTGGTCTATAGTTATGGATAGAATTAATTTGCAGGGTTATGATTCTATGTATCTTCATTTCCCCAAAACAGACTGAGACCAGGACGCAAGGATGGCAATGAGGCAGATGCACATGTCTCCTTATACCTTTATTTTTTTTTGCAGGTGAATGTTCCAACTGTGGTTTGAAAGCTATTAATAAACCCTATGGCTAGATGAGAGGTCGATGTGTCTGCACTTCTGTTCTTTGACATCCAGAAGTAGACTAACCCAAAGACCGAGAAAAATCTTTTCTTGCAAAGAAGGAATTAACTACAAAAATGACAGTTAACTGGAACAGTTTTGTGTCAGAGAACAAGGCCATTTTATCTCCAAGCAACTATGAATTTTTCTAGTGGAATTAAACAATTTAACATGAAATGTTCACTTATCATCCTATCTAGGAAGCAAACAATATTTCTTGATGCTTTCTCTGTGTACATGTATATATGTGTGTGTGTTTCCTTTTTTGGTACAATACAGTAGAAATGTTTATTCAATTTCTTGATCAAGACAGTGTTTACTGTAGGAAAAAAATTCAGTTTTTGGAAAAACATGCAACCCCACAGTAACATTCCTGCACATGTATCACACACTGACTTTTCTTTATCTTTTTTCTTCCTAAGTCCCAATTTCTCTTTCAGTAATATGAAAACAAAGCAGCAGGTTTCTGAGGAAAAAAAAAACTCAAGGGAACATCCTGTACTTTTAAAGGCAAATGAAGATATTGCTATGCGTATTTTCATCATGGAACTGGAAAGAAATCTCATAGAGGAATCCTAGAAAACTGTTTTTTAGTAATTTCTGAAGTTTATATGCCCTGTCCTAACCACCTTGACAACAAAACTTTCACGAAAGAAATAATTCCAAGCTTGTTATTTTTTAGAGTTCTAATAGAACATCACAGCAAGGTCAGTGTGGTCAAGTAGGTAATTAAATATGGCAAGAATCTGAAGGATGAAGTTCTGGTCTTGCTACTTTTTCCTTTAAATGTTTAAACTGGCTCCTTTACTTTCCACCCAAGTTTTTCCACTGGCAAAATTGTGATGGCCATCTATTGCAAAGTAGGAATGCAAAGTTTGCATATTTTGGAGGCAGTTTGGTCCATAGTAGATGTGAATGCCAGACTTGGAGTTAAGAAGACCTGAGTTCATATCTTCCTTCAGACACTTACTATAATAGATAATAGCTAACATTTTCATAAGGCTTCATGCTCTGTGCCAGTCAGTGGGCTAAACACTTTATAATTATTATCTATTGTCTCATTTGACCCTCACAACAACTCTGAGAAGCAGGTACTGTTATTATCTCCATATTACAGATGAGGAAACTGAGGCAAACAGAGGTTAAGTGACTTGCCCGGGGTCACATAGCTAGGAAGCTTCTGAGGCCAAATTTGAACTGAGATCCACTGCATCACTTAGCTGCCCTAGTTCTATGAACGTTGGCAAGTCACTCAGCCTCTCTCAGGCTTAGTTTCCCCTTCTGTAAAATGGGAATAATGCACACACACCTTGGAGATATTTTGGGTTTGGTTCCAAACCATCACAACAAAGAGAATATTGCAATAAAGTGAGTCACACAAATTTTATTTTTTTCAGTGCATATAAAAAAATATGTTTACACTATACTATAGTCTACTAAATGTGCAATAATATTATCTCTAAAAATGCACATAACTTAATTAAAAATACTTTACTGTTAAAAAAAATGCTATCATCTGAGCCTTCAGCAAGTTGCAATCTTTTTGCTGGTGGAGGTTCTTACCTCAATGTTGATGGCTGCTTACTAACCAGGATGGTGGAGGCTGAAAGTTGGGGTGACTGTGGCAATTTCTTAAAATAAGACAACAATGAAATTTTCTACATCAATTGACTTCCTTTCACTTGAACATTTTGAGGACATTGTAGGATTATTAATTAGCCTAATTTTAGCATTGTTGTGTGTCAGGGAATAGGGAGGCCAGAGGAGAGGGAGAGAGATGGAGGAATAGCTAGTCAGTGTCAGAACACATACATTTAGCGATTAAGTTTGCTGTCTTATATAGGCGTGTTTCATGGCACTCCAATATAATTATGACAGTAACATCAAAGATTACTGATCATAGATCACCATAACAGAGACAATAATAAAGAAAAAGTTTAAAATATTGTGAGAATTACCAAAATGTGATACAGAGACACGATATGCGCACATGCTGTTGGAAAAATGGCACCCATTGACTTACTCAATGCAGAGTTGCTACAACCTTTAACTTGGAAAAAGATGCAATGTCTGTGAAGCACGATAAAGCAGACTGCAATAAAATGAGGTATGCCTGTAATAACATAGAGACATGGGTTGTTGTGAGAGTCAAATGAGAAAAAGTACATAAGGCATTTTGGCATCTGAAGGGGTTATACAAATGCTAGTTATTACTATCCAAGGACACACTAATATGGATCCTCCCTCCAATGGTTCATCCAGCCTTACCTTCCCATGCTGTGTCAAATAAAGACATTCTTTATAGAGTATGGGAAGTAATATAGGGTAGAGGGAAGCATGCTACATACAGAGTAAGAAGAACTAGGTTTGAATCTCAGCTTTGCCAGTTACTACCTCTATAACTGAGTATGTCTTAGTCTTTCTTGGCTTCATTGGCTGGTCAGTAAAATGTGGGTTGTTGGACTAGTGGATTTCCAAGGTCCCCTTCTAGTTTCAAATTTGTGCTTATTCTGCTATTTTGTTGATATCACAGAAGTGTTTGAGTTGTCCATCTGTCATCTCTCGTGGTTACTGCATCTCTATTCTCCTCCTCTCCCTGCCCCTCAATTATATCTGTCTGTCTGTCTGTCTATCTATCTATCTATCTATCTATCTATCTATCTATCTATCTATCTATCTATCTATCTCCTGAGTGATGTATTTTATCTCTCCTAAAAGCTTTATTGTTGGCAGAGTTCATGCAAGGGATGACACAGGAAGAAATGTGGTGGAGGTGAGACTGTAAGAGGTGGTAGAAAAGGCAGGTACAGGAGAGACTGGGGAAGAGGCAGGTAAAAGCACTGGGCTTAAAGATCAGACTATAAGAGGGAAGAAGCATGAACCAGAGCCTGGGGAGATCAAAGTAGAAAGTAGTTAAGTGAGTAAAAGAAGATGTAAATACATACAGAAATGGTGGTGGGGGAAGGAAAGTAAGAGAAGAAATAGAGCAGATCATAGTGGAAAGTGGATAAATTATATCGCCCAACAAAGAACTCTAATTTTTTTTCATTTGCTCTGGTAACTGAAGTGTTGTTTTTAGTTTGCGGTACCAAGAGGGGAAATTACTAAGCATAGGTCTCACAGCCAATTAAGTCATCTTCCTGATGGTTGATTCTCTGTTCTAATAATGACTCTGTTCCAAATTTTCAGGCAGGATTTTAAGCCCAATAGAAACCTGATAGAGTTCCTAGTGAGTCTGCATATCTCTTCTAAAGCTTCCTTATTAATAAATACTTCCGCTACCAGGAAAACAGGATGAAGCCATGTGTTAAATAAGGAGCTACTCTTCTCCACAACCAGTAGTGATAATGGTGACCAAAAGAGAGGCACACATGTGTAAAATAGGTAGAATAGGTAGAAGGGAAAAATAGGTAGAAAGGAAGGCCAATAAGAGAAAGAAGAATAATGGGCTGAATGAAGAGCTAAATGAGGGTGGAAAAGATGCCAGTGGCTAGAATTAGGGCATAAAGCATTGGGATGGATATTCTCTTTGAGCCTCACTTTTCTTGTCTGTAAAATGGGAATAACAAGAGTTGTACTGGTTATCTCCCAGGGTCATTGCAAAGAAAGTGGCTTATAAACTGTAAAATGCTATGTGAGAGTAAGTTGTTATCGCTTCAGTGGGCATTAATGCTACATAGAACTTTGTAAATCAATTTATATTGTTCTTATCAGTGAGAGTTGTAAATCACTTGACATTCATAGGGAGATAAATTGATTAGTGGAGTGAATCATACATTGTGAGGGAGGGTGAAGCCTTTGAGCTGAGGTAAGGGGAGCTGACTGTTCCCCTGCCAAGACTGTAGGTCTCATGCCTCACACATTAGTTGGCACTGATCTGGCTCTTATGATGGATTTGCATTATCAAGCCTTTCACCTAGGAATTAGTTTCCCTTTTTTCCAATTGATTACAACTGCCTTGTGACTTACAGGGAGCTTCACAGAAGACTTAAACCAACGATAATGTAAAGTTATTGGCCTTTAGTTGGGATGTTTTAACTCACGCAAGAGAAGGCCATGAGCCTTAATGTGAGGCACCCAAGGATATAAAACCAGGAGCAACAAGGGAAGTGCATTAGGGTACCACCTATCTCCCCTCAAAGGGGAAGTAGCCAATAGCTACTAATAGGAAAGAAAAAGAAGAGATCTAACCAGAGACGTTGATAGAACCTTAGGCTCAATGATCTTTAGATCATGGAAAGAGTAGGGAGCCCAAGATGATCCTACAAAGAGGCTACACCCTGGATATATGAGTTTTGAACTAAGTTCTTAGTATTCCTCCTATATTTGATAGATAAAACTTTTAAGTATGCTGTCACCCCATGCATCAAAGCTTGCCAGGGATGTTATAGAGACAACTGTTGACATAGTGAATAGGGTACCAGACTTGTAACCAGGAAGACCTAGATTCAAATCCTGCCTCTAGCATTATTAGCTGTGTGACCCTAAGTGAATCACTTAACCTTAGTGGGTTTCAGTTTCCTCATCTGTAAAATGAGAGTTTTGGAGTACGTGGCTTCTAAGGTTACTTACGGCTTTAAATATATGATCCCATGGTGCAGCTTTACAAAGAGAGGCATGGTCTTTCTTGATTGTCTAGGAAACTGGAAGTTTCTAGCAAGGAAACTTTTGGGCACCGATGTTTACAGAAAGGGGTGGGGACGGTGTAAGTTAGGAGCAGGGAATTGTGTTTAAACAGCCTGTCAGAAAATAGCTCTTTCAACTACCACACCCTGAGAAGCTAATGACTCTCATATTGAAAAACACCTTCTTTCCTTAGACTACATATGCCATATATACACACGTTTGTGCTCAGTCAGAGAGAAAGAGAATATGTTATTGAAAAAACCAATAGTCATAATGATAATATAATACTTTACAATTTATAGGGCACTTTATGCAAGTAAGCTTATTTGACTGAATAGCAATAGAAGTTAACAACTCATCAAGTGTTTATTGGGGAACCTAATATGTGCCAAGCAGTGTGCTAGCAATTGGAGATGTAAGAATAAAAGCAAAACAGTCCTTGCTTTCAGGACCTTATGTTCTGATGGGAAGTAAATAACAGATACATAGATAAGGACATATATAAATAAAACTATTAAAGCTTAAAATTTCTCTAAAACTTTTAGGACACCTTGCATAAGGGAGTTTGGGGATACGAGAAGCCCTAACAATTGGAGGG